AGAGAGAGAGAGAGAGAGAGAGAGAGAGAGAGAGAGAGAGAGAGAGAGAGAGAGAGAGAGGCTGAATGACAGAATTAAAATATGGGTCAGATTGCAGCCGCTTTCACAGTTAAAATAAAGTTTGAAACTTTATTTAATACTTTTGCTGGAAAGATAACAACAAAATCTACGTGCAGTCCAATTTTTAGCGTTTTCCATGCATTCTTCAGAGAGCACAATCACTGAAGTTGGAGTACTTTTTTCTTGGGCCACACATGGCTGAGTGCCAAAAATGGAAAATGTGCCGGAATCTGCAGTCTTAGTGATTTTTAAAATTGTTTCTGATATTTTTCCTGGAAAGATCACGACCTAATCTACGGATTCTCAGATTTTCAGATTTATCTGCGAATCTGAGCACAAAAATTCGTCAAAGTTGCCTCTTGCAAATTGCGGGACTGGACCCACCGGTACCCCTTTTGTGTAGGGGCCTAGTGGAGTGGAAGGCAACGTTCACGCCTGTCAGCACCAGACCATGCCAAAAGGCCTGGGCCTGAGGGCATTGGCCCGATTTCTTTTGGGGGTCCGCTTCCACCCGAGGACAGGTCCTTCCTTTATCAAAAAGTCCTGGTCTTACAAGAGCTAGCTGTAGGTAGTCCACAATATCTTGAAGTACCTGTCCTCCAAATTCCTCCCCCCCCCCCAAGAACCCACTTGCCTCCTGGTCCCCAGCTGCCGAAAATGCGACACCTTGACACAGATGTCGAAGCCCACTATACCGCAGCCTTAGGGCTGCGAACTTTTTCCCAGTCAGGATATTGGATATAATGAGATCCAATAGCTCAAATCCTCTTTCTTCTCCCCCTTCCTCCCCACGCTCACTTCCTTCCCCCGCCTTCCCCACCCCCAACCCCCCTTTCCTGCCCCCCCCTTTCCCCTTTTGCTACACTGCACGTGTACACCCACATTTTAGGGGAATTGCTGGGAAACTTACTGGTGGTTTAAACCACCAGTACTTCCTAGAGCCGTGCCCGTTAACGTGCCAGGATTTTAGGAAACGTACGGGCTGCTACAGGAACGCCCAAATTCATCCGACTAGAAACGTTTCTACTCTATTTTTTCCGGCGGCCGATAGCTGGGCCCAAGTACTGGTGGTTAAAGGTTCAGCTGTAGGGGAGAAACAAAGGTTGAGCTATAGGGAAAGAAAAAGGTTGAGCTATAGTGGATGCCGTGGGGAATCGTACCACTCCATGCCATCAAGTAGCTCAACCTTTTCTTTCCCCTCGACCGCCTGTGTGGTATGATGCTTCGGGTCCGCCAACCAAGAAAGTCGGCTTGTCCCTCCTGTCTGGTCGTGGAAGTATGTGTCCGCTTTCCAGCTCGTGCCAGGTGTTAGGAGCCTGGGTACTGTTCCCCGCATACAGCAGCAGCCTATGGGATCTGCTGAGGTGAAAAATCTGGAGGCCGGGAATGCAAGTTTCCATCCCATAACGCCAGCGTCCCCTGCTAAGCTACCGTCTTCACCCAAATAGAACGGCCAGTAATTATGGCCGTATCTGGACTGAAAGTTGCGTCAAATACAGCTATAATGACCGGGCGCTCTATTCGGGTGAAGATGGTCCTAGTATATAGGTAGGGGTAGTGGGAGGCATATTGAGAGAAGAATATAGGTCATGTTTTATTGAAAAATAGAAAGAAAAAAAGAAAAAGATTGAGCTGTGCTGTCTGCTACTGTAAGAGGGTTGGCCGAGTACAGATTTGGCGTATGCTCTCTGCTGCGGCTGAGTAAAACCGCCGACTACAAATTAGGCTAAGTTATACTCACAGTTGGACTTTCAGGGATGAATTTAGCTGCTAATGCGGTCGATTACGTTCAGGGTAACGCTACTGTCAGTGACCCCTAAAGCTGGAGCAGTTATATGTTGAACCACCAGTCTCAAGTGGGGACCTGCGAACCGTGTGGCCATGCTCTCGTTGTATCGGCTTGCCTGCAGCCGTTGTTCTTTGTTCTTTATCAGAACATGATTTGACTTGGTTCATCTGGATCTGAACTCACGTCTGCATTTCAACAGCTCATGGGTGTCGCAACTGTGCCAGGCGCGTTTGGTACGCATACTGGATTGGAAAATCTTCTTCAAGCACCAGTACATGCCAGATATCGGCCGCGGGCCCCTTTCGGAGGGGGAGGCGGAGGCCGCCCACCACCGATTCATGCCATCTACGGCGGTCGGTCTCCTAAATTTTCGGAGAGGCTAAAAAAACAGGTTCACAATTTGCCTGGGGCCATGCACTGGTGGTTCCAGGAGAAAATTGGGCACCTGGGACTGGGCACACGTTCAAACACCGCCTTCTTCCTCTTCGTCTGCTTTAAGAGTTTTATTTAACTTGAGTACTTAGTTCTGAAATGTCACAAATGTGGGGTCATGCTGTTCGCCTTTCTTGTCACTGTTTCAATTTTGATGGATGCCCAATGGACTGATCTGCTTGTTCTCAACTTTCTTTTCTTTTCTTTTTTTTTTGTTGAGATAAAGCTCAGCACAGATGAAACTCTACCTACGCTTGTTCTCAACTTTACCTCAACTTTACCTCAACTTTACCTCAACTTTACCTCAACTTCACCTCAACTTCACCTCAACTTTACCTCAACTTTACCTATGCTTGTTGTCAACTTTACCTCAACTTTACCTCAACTTTACCTATGCTTGTTCTCAACTTTACCTCAACTTTACCTATGCTTGTTCTCAACCTTACCTCAACTTTACCTATGCTAGTTCTCAACT